TCCCTGACCACCACTTCTCTTGTCTCTTTCGCGTTTCCTCATTTGTTTCCTTTTCTCTTATTTTACTTTTTTTCCCCCCCGCTGGAACACCAATTAATTAATCGAACGTCCACCGCTCCCGAATTGCACGCAAGACGTCACGTTGATCAACTGTCTTGCCCGCTACGACTCCTGTACATTGTATGTTTCTCGTTTTTTTCTGTTCTTTTGTCTGGGAATGCATCATCGGCACACGTTTTGTCTTCCGACTCCAGAATTCAGAATCACACGACTGATTGTACCGTTCACTCATCCAAATGACGCACGTGTATATATACATATATATATATATATTTTTGTAAAGAAATGTAAACAAGCACCGGAAGAAAGGGAAGTAGTAGAAGAAGAAGATGAAGACGAAGACGAAGAAGAAGAAGAAACACGACCGCCTTACCGTCGTTCATTCCCGTTTGTCACACGTTTTGGTTCATTCTCTCTTTTCTCTCTCTCTCTCTCTCACTCTCTTTTTTTTTCTACTCTCGTCAATCCCGATTGTATACGTCACGCCAATTCACTGTGAACCGGACGCGAAGGGAGAAACGAAGCTTCACGAGATAGCAGCAAAGGGAACCGTTAATTAAGGACTATTGTAAAGGAAAATATTTAACGACAATGATAAAACAATTGTACCCTTGTGTGTTCATTATACTGTCCACCCCCGACCGCCCATCTTGTACACTACATTTTGTGCTCCTCTCATTGTGATATATTCCGTTCCCGTATCGTTCCGTGCAACCCGTGAACCGGAGAGTTAACTCGTCGGTCGTGTTTGGTATCACCTTTTTATCTCCAGTTTGACGTCACTTTTTGTTTTCTTTCTCCGTAAACTAATTTTTGTTGTAATTTGTCACGTAGTAGTATATATATTTCATTCTCACCTATATACATATCTACCAAACCTAAATATGTATTATAGTTGCATTTAAAGTACCCGATAAAAAAGATTCACGACTGACGCATCGAAGACGACTCGCAACGTTGAAGCAGAAACCGAGCAATTTCTATATTAATAATACTCTGACAACAGATAATATTAACCCTTTGCACTCTATAGACTCGACAGTACCATTTATAGTATTAAACATATTAATAAACAAAGGAAACTACCCTAAGATCATTGCATTCGCTACAAATGCAAACTTCGACCTAAAAAAGAGCATAGAAAGTCTAAATATTCTAACGTGACGCTGTTACAGCAAAAATCTTAGAACAAACGTTATAATGTAACATCTCTCAATTCTCATTAGATATAGAAGAGTAAGGTAAAACGGAACACCAATGTTTTCCGTAGATAAGGAGCTCGTAGAAGCTGATGCACGACGTAGACCTCATAAGTCTCCCCTACAGTTTGCAATCGACTGTAGATCAGCGTACGAGTATTATCTACGAGAAACATAGGTGTCTTACCCTACTCTTCGTTATTATGAAAATAACTTCCAGTTACCGATAGGTTAAAAAGTCAGTTAGGGTGTCAAGGGTTAAAAGAAATTCGAACGTTATTAAATTGCATATTCGAGCGGTATAACGTTAAATTGCTGATGCAAGACCTTGCGTAAACGGCATCCACGGATGAAAGGTCACGAAGTATCGGTCGTCGTTAGCCTTTCGCTAGAGAAATGATCGATGACGGGTGTACCGATCTAGTCACGGAATTATACGCGGCATTATCGTCGGATCGGCTCGTTTCAGATTTTACGAGCGTCGTCGTCTTCGGGCGGCAATCAGTTGTGCTCGCTAGGCGGTAATAACAGACCTGTCGTGTTCGCGGCGGCGTAAAGAGCGAAGCGTCTTAATACGCTGTTAATTCCGCGAACGGCTCAATTACATCGTGATTATCAGGCAACGAGCAAGAAGCGAAACTTTTACCATGCCCGTACCTTTGCTCCGCGAGGAGGCCGCGATCCCGTCGAACGCTCAATGAGCCGTATCAAATGGTAGAGCGTACAGTCGACCGTGTACAATCTGCCGAGAAATTTTACGCCACGTCCTATAAATAACAGCCCCGGTCGGGTTGAACGAAACTTCGGGATTAAACTCGGTACTCAAACTTTTTGCACCGATTTCCTTTTACATTTCCCTCGAATCTGGAAAGGTTTCGTTTACGAGCACGATATTCACTGGTATAATTCGATTTTATGGGGACGTTAAGCTTGAAATCTCCGATGTTAATCTGCTAGGCGTGTAAAGATAAGGGGAATGGTCTCGGTAATAGGATAACTTGGACATTTTGTAATTCATCGGGAACGGCTTAATTGAATTCGACTTAGATTCGCGCAAGGAAATGTTGAACGATTCCGAGGCACTTCTTCGAATCGAATTGTCATCCTTATTTCCCTTTACTCTTCTCAGTCGAGGATACGTTGAATCTAGATAATCTAACTTCGAATGGAACCGAGGAGAATGAAATGTCTAAACGTAAATTATGTAATATACAAAGTGACGTTCGATTGGAAGTGATTTTTCAAATTTCCGACGAGGGGTTGGGAAATAAAGGACGTGGCGCGGCGCGACGAATCAGTCGTATTTCACGGCACATTGTCGCAAAATGATTCTATTCGCAGCCGAACAGACAAGCACGGTAGGTGCTTCGTTAATAAACTTCCGCTTGATCACGATTCGCTACAGAGTGCCGCCTCTATCGGCGAGCTTTTTTGCCGCGTGTCCGTCACGAGCCTCGCATTGTTTGCCATTCGACGTCGGTCACACGGAAACGGGACGTTCACGGAAAATTATTCGCTCGTAAGGTTATCGTATATGCCTATTGTCCGCTTCGCGCGATCGTTATTGATTATCCAGCTCGATTTTTCCATGGAGATCCGCGTCCGTTCGTGGGAATTATTCGCGGAAGAGCAGCTGACCGTGGACTGCTCGCAGAAATCATTCGGTCGTCGCGCATTGAAATTACTCGGGCCGGTGTTTATCATCGCGTCATTGTTGTTTAATTACCCTGACAATATTCGGCATCGTGAATGGCCGTTGATTTACGCCTTGGAGCGTACGCGAGGGTATTCTCCTGAGAGGGCCGCGCGCGTCGCGTCTTGAACGTCACGTAGAGGGTTGTTAACACTTGAATAACCGGCAATGCGTTTTTTCAATGTTCCTCAACGATTGTTCAATAACCGATGTTGCATTTTTGCAGTCCGTAATATTGTATATTTAGTATTTCGGTACGACACGCGTGTGTTTTAAATTATCATGTTTGACATGAGTTTTCGATGTGAAATCGGCGTCAAACGAGTATGTCTTAAATTACTACATTTCATTCGATTTTCCTTTGAAGCGTCATATTCTGAGAATTCGCAAATTACTGGTGGTCGCGTAAAGCGTACCTATAGCTGCAAATTAAATAGTCGGTTACTTAAGTATTAATATTCGGCTCGGGCGTATAATGCATCTATAAATGCTCGAGTCTATGCTTTATGATCTCTATCGCAGGTGCGTTGATTGATATGCTCAAGATGCTTTATTATTGATAACTTTCCAGGCAGAAAGGGAATCTCTAATTACACTGAGCCTTTACGTTATTACTGGTAATTCACCAGGAAAAAGGGAAAATCTGTAATCGTACTAAGCTGTACATACTTATTCCAAAGAGGAACAGTACATCACTTCGACTTAAACCCTTGTCCTGTTATTTATTTTACAAGTGCGCTTGGTAAAACTGCTTTATCATTGAGATTTTGTTAGAAAAAGGGAAGAAATTGATAATTCTCCTATGTCTACATTTACTCTAATGGTTAACAAATTGGTAATATAAAAGTAACATGTAACTTCTATTTTTAAAAAACACTAAGTGAGAGAGACATTTAGATTCATGGAATTCAGTTAAAAATTTTCACAGCGAGACATGACATTTTCAGGCAAGGGGTTAAGAAAACGAAGTGACTTTGATACTTATTTGCTCCTGTGTGGAATCTATCTGTACATTCTGCGTCGATATCATAAGGCGAGTGCATAATGCGAGAACGTGCGCGGCCCCGTCGTAAATCAGCCAATTTAACAGCGCGCGTGCCGCCGACGTGCCACGCAGGTGCGAATGAAAATTTTATCTCGTGCACGTGCATCAAATTAAACTGTGCCTGTCGCGTTTTGAGCACAAACGACCGTGCCGCGCGTCGAAATGCAAACGGTACGAGCGTTTTTTCGGCTGCTGTTCGCTTCCGCCCAAAAGAGAGATCAAATATGCACACTGCCGTTAACAAGTTGAAAATGTCCTTTGGGTTTTAGAGAGTGCCGCTGTTAGAAACTCACGGGCCGTTTCATGTTGAATTGATCGGATGTTCAACACTGTGCCATAGATTTTGGTGGAACTTTGATCTCTAACTAGCAGTTCGCATGAAACTGTCCGAGTTTCAAGTGCATTTTAGCGTTTTGTTTAATATTTCAGTCAGCACGTGCACTAGAATGGGTATTAGCATTTTATTCGCAGGCTGCATTCGCTGTGACAAGATTCACAAATTAATCTGTACCTGTTAAGCTAATAGCAGCAGTATTTTCATTTTTTTTCGCTTAATCATAGGGAACTGAGTTTTATTAAGTGACTAAACGATAGTGTTTTCAATTTTTTAACGGCAGTCCAAACGTACGCTAAATGCTACAGACATCGTTGCATTCGCGCTGCCTATTAGCCATTGCATGCGATGTGCTGTATCCATTACTTTCGCCTAGGAGGAACCCGCCCCGGAACCACCACCAGAGGCTGCACCAACGCCATCTCCGGAACCACCAGCAGCGCCTGCAGAAGCACCGCCAGCAGCACCTGCGGAAGCACCGCCAGCAGCACCTCCTGCGGAGGGTGCGCCGCCGGCTGGTCAGTATACAGTCTTTAAAGCAATGTGTCAGATTTCTTTAATCGGTATTCGTCATGTTTCACGATGTACGTTATCATAACAATAGTATATTCCTGTGCAAAAAGGCTGCGACGTCAGAAATAACCGAATTAACCTTTCAACTATGACGGGGCTATCCCCGAAGATTAACATTCAGTTCACAATCTATACAACTTCCTGAACATCGCAGTTTCGTTCGCACAGTTACGTTCATGAATGTTGCACGTTGTCTTTAACATAATTTCTGTGTTTCAACGAGTTTCACAAACATGCGAGCAAGTCGATTTTTCGGCGACGTGAAGAACGATAATTGGAAGAGAATAAAACGCTCGTTGTCATGGTAGACGTGTAATACAGTAGATTTAGAAAGTGCAAGGAGCATGTGATTGTCCAGAGGGTGCGCCAGCAGCAGCACCTGCGGAAGGAGCACCAGCAGCGCCTCCTGCAGAAGGAGCACCAGCAGCACCTCCTGCGGAAGGAGCACCAGCGGTACCTCCCGCGGAGGGTGCACCAGCGGCACCTCCTGCGGAAGGTGCTCCAGCAGCACCTCCTGCGGAAGGTGCACCAGCGGCACCTCCTGCAGAAGGAGCACCAGCAGCACCTCCTGCGGAGGGTGCACCAGCGGCACCTCCTGCGGAAGGTGCTCCAGCAGCACCCCCTGCGGAGGGTGCACCAGTAGCACCTCCAACGGAGGGTGCGCCGCCGGCTGGTTAGTATACCGGCTTTAAAGTAATGTATCAAATTTTTTTTACCGGTATTCGTCTCTCGGTACATGTTACAGTAACAATAATACACGGTAGAACCACTATTATTCGAGTCAATCGGACGACTAACAATCCAGATACATGAAGACTCGAGGAAAAATCCTTGAAAGCTCCTTTATAAAATTCTTGAGAATAAACACTGACAAATTATTGAGACTCTAGATAACCGAAACTTTGAATTCCAGATCGCGAGAAATACCTATTGACTCTATAATCGAGGTTCTATTGTACGTTCATTAATGCTGCACGTTGTCTCTAACGTAGTCTTTGTGTTTCAACGTTTTTAACAAGAACGCGTTCACGATTGTCGCAAACTGTCTTTAACGTAGCGTATTTGAACGTCCTCTAAAAGCATCGCGAGCGAGTTGCTTCTTCGGCGACAAGAAGAGCGCAGTCGGAAGAGAATATAACGACGGTTGTCATGGTAGACGTGTAATAGAGTAGATTTAGAAAGTGCAACGAGCATGTGATTGTCCAGAGGGTGCGCCAGCAGCTGCACCTGCACCTGCGGAAGGCGCGGCACCACCAGCGGAAGGTCAAGCGCCTGCTGCTCCCGCGGACGGATCGGCACCGCCGCCAGCGGAAGGAGCGCCCGCCGCACCTCCTGCTGAAGGTGCACCACCAGCCGAAGGTGCACCTCCTGCGGAAGGTGCACCGCCAGCGGAAGGTGCACCACCAGCGGAAGGAGCACCGCCAGCGGCTGCGCCTGCGGAGGGTGCACCGCCAGCGGAAGGTGCTCCACCAGCGGCTGCCCCTGCGGAAGGTGCACCACCAGCGGAAGGCGCACCGGCGGCTGCGCCCGCGGAAGGTGCACCGCCCGCTGAGGGCGCGCCTGCGGCTCCACCGGCAGAAGGTGATCTTAAGAGACACTTGTCACTGCAAATTGCTTGATCCTGGCGTGATTTGTAATCCCCAGATGCTTGCAGACATCTCTTTCACTGCGCAGACTGTGGATTTTGGTGCATTCTTGTTGGCCGAGCTGGCAAATTATGGGAATGGGGACAATTGTCAGGATGTCCAGTGTCATTAGTTTCAACATAGTTTTCTGAATAGCAGAAAATCCACGGTCTACCTGTCACATGGTATCCTTATGCTTTGCACCCTTCAATTATTGAATAGCTTGATACCTTCAGGAATGCGGAATTGTAATTATTCCTGGATTGCATCCGTGATGACTCAATGGTATTGCATACGCTTGACAGAACCATCAATCCAAAAGAAAAGTTCGTTTCCCTACCGATGAATCAGTCCACACAGATATATACCTCTACACAGCAATCTAATTATGAGCTTCTAATCTATTGCGTTAGAGAGCCCAGGTAATATCCACGTAAAGAATGGCCTCAAAGACCTCAGCTGTAAGAAAACCAAGAAAGGAATTTGTTGTTCTAAATTGACCATGATCCTCCTTGAAGAATACGAACCTTTGACCGACCACTGGGAATGTAATCCGATTTAATCTCCCATTTTCTTGATTTTATTTCATCCCCTTTGACGTGACTACGGTCTTTCCGAGAGGATTTACTAAGAACGTAACTGTACTTCCAAAGGCGCACCTGCAGCACCACCAGCGGAGGGAGCTCCTGCTGCACCACCAGCCGAGGGAGCCCCCGCTGCACCGCCAGCCGAGGGTGCCCCTGCTGCACCGCCAGCGGAGGGAGCACCTGCTGCTGCGCCGGCAGCCGAAGCGCCAGCAGCCCCAGCAGAAGCACCAGCGCCAGCGCCCGCTGAAGGAGGTAAAACCCTTTGTTTCCCTTCACTTCTATCGGAATTATTTGCCGCAACATTGCAGGATTGACCGTCTCTCGTCGCCATTTCCGCGTTCATCATGTCGCAATTCAATTTCTCTTTCTTTCACGCTCTAACGAACCGCGCTGCAGGTTCTGCTCATTCCACTTGGATCGTCCGGTTCAACGGCCCATCATTCTTGATCAACGACGGTCTTTCTAATTTAATGCACTCTATTGTTTTCAACTTGATTTCTAGATAAGGTACTTATGGTTTTGAAAGTCACAATGGTCATCAGTCCTCCCGGTGCTCCTATACCGAGAATCCGAACTATACGCCCTATACCCCGATCAAAATTTATTACGTTAGGTACGTTGTCGTGGTGATTGTCCGTACAGTAGAGGACTAAAAATCTAGTCGTCGGTAGCGATTGAAGAAATAATCGACTAATCGCGTCATCGACCTGTCGTGCATCCGATGACGTACGACGCTGGAGGAATCGACGAGAATGTTCAACGATTCTCATTTGTTCCGCGGTTGATTCTGTTTTATCGTCTTTATGTCGCAAGAGTGGTTGCGATTCGAACACTTGTCTTTGTCTAGCTCTCAGATAGCCATCCAGATCCTCAAAGGACTTCCATTTTCTTAACAAACTTCCAAGGTGTTCATAAATAATTCAACATACGCCATACGAGGGTTAACGTGTCGTCTTAGTGATAGCGATATTTGTGTAGCAGTAGCTTTAACATTAACACCAAAGCCATTACCGAAACTTGGACAAGAACACGAGAAGGTGGCGGGGACCAGTCAACTTCCCCCTAAAAATTCGACCTAAGAGCACTGAAAGAATCGATTAATCTAAATAATAGATACTAAATGATTATAATAATAATAAGTAATATATAATATTCTAATAATAGGAATAGATTAATCCAAAAAAATTCAGTTCCCTCAGCTCTCAGCGCGAGAGTTACGATCGAATGAGGGAAACATGGAGTGTCCGCAGTCTAAAGCAATGCCGCTTCTTTTTTCTATTTCCAGCGCCCGCATCGTAACTTCGTCGAAGTTGGAACGGACGAAGGGTCACCTCGCTATATAATTTCCACTCGTTGACGTCAGAATTTGCATAAAACGTACACGGATAAGCATAGAGAGCACGGGCTACGTAACGCGTCGAGCCATATTATTCTCGCCGCGACGGTTCATGCGTTGGTAATCATCGTCGTCATCGTCCTCGTCGTCGACGCCGTCACCGTCGCCGCAGTCGTCATCGTCATCGTCGTCGTCGTCATCGTCATCTTGATCATTGTTCTTTCCGTCATGCACATGCGTCATGTTTACGCGTCACGCGTGCCTCGGGGAGCGCGAACGGGAACAGAGGTAACAAAAAAACCAAAAACAAAAAAGGAAAGAAAAACAGGGAAACAAAAAAACCAGGAAAACCTAGAGGAAGATTAACAAGCAAACAAAAAACAGGGGCACACTCGTCACGTGACACGTTTCGCCTCGTTCCTTCGTGGGTTTCACGGCGCGCTGTTCTTATCATTCATAGCCAATCGAAGAGTACCTTTCACGGGATCGGCCGACCAGCTCTTCTTTTCCCGGGATGTTAGCTAATTACACGAAAAAAAAAGAAATGGCAACGATAAACCTTACCCCCTTCGAGGCGACCGGGCCCCGTGATTGTTCGAATCGTGTCGCGTAATCACGATCCACGATTCTACCGGGTGTGTTCCGTCGATCGATAAAGCCGAACAGGTCCGCGGAACGTACCCGAGATCACGACACACCGTAAACGATTTGTATATATAATTTACGACGCGTTCTACCGAATGTAATGCGAATGTTCACCGAACCATACCATACACGAATTGGATTTCGTAATAAAAACATTTCTGCGACTATCAACTGAGTGTCCCGTGGCTGGTGATCGAATCGATACCGATGCTATCGGTGATAGTCGAACAACTCGACGACAAAGTGTTCCAAGGGAGATGTTCAAATTCAGAATTCGAACAACTGGAGATTGCAGCTCTACCAAATCAGGGAGCTATCCGAATTTCAAATGTTCAATACTGGTTCGGTATTATTCCGATCACTATCCAAGGTAGATTAAGTAACACCGACCCCCTTCCCGCCGATCAAAGGAACGCTGTTTCCGGGTGTGTAATTACGCTCCGTTTCGCGATTAATATTCGATGCCCGGAGCCCTTGATTTTCTCGCGCGGCGCCTTTATTTGGGATCGTTCATTGTCGCCCAACCCCCACCCCATCTCCCAGCGCCGCGCCGTGCCAAGGGGTTGACGGGACTCATTTGTTTATGTTGCTCGCTGTCGCCCTGCCACGTGTTTTGCTAATCCCTTTGTCGCTTTGTTTCGTTACACGTACCGCACAGCCGACACGGGAACAATAGACGATCCTTCGTAATGGAATTTACGTGGGTCAGTCTTATTGTCAGCGAGTCTCCTCCCACCCCCGGTGTCCCGTGGCGGCCGTGTAATCGATCTTCCAGCTATCAAACTAAATTACGGCCGTTGAACGCGTCCGGTATTCGAATTAACGAGAAAAAGGAATTTCTGTTAACACGAACGATCGTCGCCTGTTGTTTGATTCCTACAGAGATTATAATAATGATTGTTATTACGCCGTCTGCAACATTCTCACTCGATGATGGAAAAGTCGATGGTTTCAATTGGAAATTGTAAAGAACGAATGAAAAGAGGGGAAGGAAACTTTCCCGTTGAACAGATAAGAAAATTCGAAACGATTGATTAATATAATTGTATAAGTTAGAAGAGGAAACTTTTCGAGAAAGTTGTTCGAATACAATTGTGTCTAGTAACAGTTTTCTTCGACGGTTTGATTACCATAAAACTGCTGTACTTTAGGCAAACGTTTACTTAAGTCCATTCGTTTTATCGCACTTCGACTGCAAAAGTATGATACAATCGAAGAAAACTCACAATCGGAAGCGTATCTATCTCAGCACGTTCACCGTTCTGTGATTCATGCATGTGTCATAATTAAACTGTCGATTTCATGCGTTTTGCATCCTACACGATTCTAGAATATTCCGTATTATTGAATGTTTAACATGTTTTAACAATCCTCTCGCTTCGCACGCAGTCTAATCGAACTTCACAGTTACGAAAATCAATTTTCAACCCTACTTTCTGTAAACCGATAGTTTCAAATCTATCTCCAATCATCCCGGTCGCAATGTCAATTGAAAAAATTGTAAACCAAACCCGGCGGACCACTTGATCCGGAAGCCATATTGGATCTGGCGAAAAGATATTGCGTAACCTTTGAAATGAGGTTATGTCGCTGTATATACTATTACGCAATAAAAGTTACTCGGAATCTCAAAAATTCTTACCACGTTCAACACCATGTCAGTCACCGATGACTGGCATCACTGAATTACTTGAAAACAATCGTAACGTGCAAAATAACCATGTCCAATGAATATGGTTAATAACCTAACTTGACAATACCGTAATGCAAGGATTGCAACAAACAATTAATAACCGTCCCTTCCTTCCTTTGCTGCAAAAGAATAACCAGAAAAAATTAGTCAAGATTTTCATGCCGCTTACGTTGAAGAACATCAATCTCCACGCTCACCGTTCAGCAATTCCAGTGTCAGCGCGACGAGAAGTCCCTGAGACTTTTCATACGGGAATACCTCTGAATTCTTCGCGGAGGACCGTTGGCTCCTGTGTTTCTAGCGTGAATACACGACAGCTCGAAAACGGCCGCGTAATATCCACGTATTCATCTCGGCCGGCAAGACTGACAGATGCAGAATGTAGTGTCGTTAAGCCGCGCGTAATTCGAAACCCGAGGCCGTGCGGTACGCGCGCGGTGAGCCGGCTCAGTGAAGTCAGTCGCGCTCCAGCCGTCACGGTGGAAGGTGCTCGTCGCCTGTCTTTCCTCCCCTCCACGCTCTGGTCTCGTTTACAAACGTCCACGCGCGAACGAACGGACGGATTTTTATCGTTGTCCTCCCTGGTGTCCTGTGACATTTCTGTGCGATCGAACCAGTGGTACCAATACTGTGTCCAATTTCACCCCGTGCCCGTTCCGAGAAGGGCCGAGCACGTTGTGCGCGAACAAGTTGCCGCTGTTACGCAACTCCGGTGATTCGCTGCACGCGGGAAACGCGGTGAACTTGCGGTGCATCCTCTCTTGTTTGCCTCCTTTTGTTTTTCTCTTCACTCTGCACGCCGTCACGCGGTCGCCTTCAGGACTGTTCGGTAAGTTTATCTATGTTGCTTCACGGATGTTTACGCAATCCCGCGCGTTTAACCTCACATTTCAGCGATCGTGGAGTTGAAGTTCTTTTTCCATCTCGGCCGTGACGTTTCGTTGGACATTAAGCTTCTTTTTTATTGTTTTTCGCCGTTGTTGTTTCGCGAGATACGGCCGCACGAAGGTCCGCGGTTTATTTAGTAGGAGGTTTGATTGATAGATCGACCGGTTGGGATTTGACAGTGGGGGGCACGGGGGCCGTGAAAAATGGCGTCATTTGTTTTGACGGGCACACGGATCATTGCGAATGAGGGACGCTGATTCTTTCTTTCTGATTAATTGTTGTGTAATATTTTAGGCGCTTTCTTTTAGTTTATTCTGGAATTGAATGTCGGTTGACACGTTGAATGGGTCACCGGTGACCCCAAATCGAATTACTATAATTCACTCGATTAAACGATTGGTTGGAAATTTTTCTATGTTATAAATAATGCTAGTTAATGCGGTAAATTCAGCTCGATGAACTTGCGATAACAATGCAATTCAATCGAATGATTTTATATTATATTTTTATTATTCTGAGTATTTCGCTTTATACAATCATGCGGTCAACGTGTTCGTTGTTCCGTAGGTATTGAATTTCTGTGGAAATCAAACAATTTTGCTTTTTACACGGGACCGCGCATATATGAATGTTACTTGTTTCGCATGGCTAACCCCAGAGGGAAGTTGTGTTGTTATTAATTAAATTTTGAAATTTAATACGAGTGATATAACGTGATCATTAAGCTTGCAGAGAGTTTAATTAAAACGAATAGTTGGCGAGCTCATTCTGCTTGTTTCAAATTTTCCGCATTTCGCCGAGGATTGTTTATGCCGTGTCACTTGTTGTTTTTTCCGCAATTTACTCGTTCATATTGGACACCGTGGCCGGACACATGTGACCCCCACTTCCGTTATCGTCCCGCGGAAAAGTGTCCGATACGGATCGGTAAAATACGATAATCGAAGAAAATAATACCGAATAATAACGAAATAAAGTCAATAATTAACCGGTGTATTCGTCGATTTTAAAATCCCCCGTTAAACGGAATAATCGATGCGACCGGTACCCTCGGATTTCCAAATCATTTATTTCCCGGCGTGCCGTTCGCAGAATTTACAACCGTCGAGCAACGATTTTCGCGCGAAGATACAAATCAGTTGAAATAACCCCTCGACTCGCGTTCGCGTGCGATACCTCCTAGCATCGTTTGAAAGAGATCGTTTCGACCGTTGCGTGGGCGTCACGTGACCTTGCCGCGTCCGCTAATATTTAGGAATTAACATCGTCAGAGCATGTGATCCTAGCTCGGCCGGCGTGCGACGGAATGACTGAAACTCCGGTGCGATCCAGTTGCCCGTATAACGTATTCCGCAAAAAGTTTTAAGTGTCTGGAAACGCCTCGGAATAGTTCCGAAGAATGCGAACGGTCCGCGAAGTTTACGCGCTCCCCTGATTTCACTCTTGCGCCTGTGGCACGCAACGCCCGAATGAAACTTGCCGGTCGTAACCGGGCAATTTATGCGTCGGACGGCAGGAATCATCTGCGTAGAGTGTGTGCCTGGCTAATCATTTCAACTTGTCGACTGCCAGGCTCGTTACATATAACTACCTTCGCTAAACTATTCCAAAACGGCTACGACAACTTGAATTCCATCGAGTAACATTTCTAAAGGATATCAATAATTAACTGATAATTAACACCTTGCATCTATCTAATTATTCAGCCGTTTGAATATTCATGACTGTAACGTTTTATTGTAATGTCGGAAATGTTGGTCGATGTAACTAATTTGTTATTAATGATTTATCGAAACTCAGAAAATTCCAGTTTTATTCTATGTCAACGTGTACTATAAAGTATAATCATTGAGAACAGAGGAATAATATGCAATTTGTCGAACAAATTGAATAATATTCGTGTTAAATTCTGTTTGAAATCTTCGCCACGAGTCTGAGCTTCGATAGCTCCCAAGATAAGATCAGTCAAGACAAGTTGTTTCATAACTTTTCTATCGAATTCACGCATTCGCGTCAATCCTCGTAGTTTCGTTCATTAGTGCCGCAACGCGCAATCCATTCGCAGCGACACTGTTTTACTTCCCATTAATTCTTTCATCGCCGCATGTCTGAAATAGCTCCCTGAAGTCCCCGAGTCCCCCGGCGCGGTTCAATCCGCGTTACCTAAGCAAAGACTTGTTGCACTCGTTCGCCGGTCGAGCGGCCGACGAAATGCAGATAAATCGTGCGTGATCGATTACGGTCGGAGTAGTAACGAGTTCGTTAAATCGCTCGCCGTTGCGGCGGCGGACTTGTTTTGACAGTCATAGAAAGAATTCCGCCTGGTTCTTTCCGGTCATACCGGTTCCCATCGTGTAAAGCCTATTGGAGGAGGCGTAGGACAGGACAAGAGGAGCGAGCGAGAGAAGACCCAGTGATCGGTCCATCCGCGGATGGGGTGGGAAACGAGAACGATAAAGGCCGGCGCGCACTTAACACTTAGCCAACCTGGTAGTTTTCGCGAGCGTCTTGTTACCTTTTCTAATTAGTACTCCCGTAAAGCGTGGAGGATATTTGAAATAATAACCGACGATTCGATGGGAACGAATCTTTCTTTTCCTCAGTTGGCTATGAAAATGATAAGGGGACAAAGAGGAGAAAGTAAACAAGTCGAAAGATGACGCGTTGGAGACACGCGAAAGAAATGGGAGATTCTTTGTTCATTGTTAGCGAAGTATTAATAGCACCGGGCCTGAAGGACATCTATGTCAACGTTTACTTCTTACTAATTCAAATGGGAATGTGTCCACCTACTCGCAAGAATTCCGACGTTGCTTTGTTGCGGCTAAGTGGACGCATCCCCATTTGAGCTACGTATAAGAAATTGAACACTGGCGTAGGTCTGGTTTCGTCGGACTGACGCTGTTAACACTTTGAAAGTCTTCTGCTGGAAATATTCAACGATCTTTGATAAAATATAGACGATGTTTGCCGGGGCCAATGTAATTTAAATTACGGGACAAAAGTGTTTTATTTCAATATTTGACATAGTAATGCGTTATACGAATTCAATATTAAACATCAAACTTTATAATTTTACTATATCAAACCAAGTGGTGGCTGAGAGTCACTTCCGAGAGCAAAAGGTTAATACAGCTGTAGATTTTCTAATGAGACGTTTAGGGAAGTGAACGCTCCGCATAATTTCCAAAAACCTTAGTTAAATACCACAAGGATATACTATTTAAATGCGTGTAAATGTAATGAATAAATTATAGAATTTATCAATGTTCAACTACAGCTTATGAAATGACCTGGAATTAACCGGAATTCTTGTTAGAAATTCGAAAGTATTACATCACGGGTACATTAGGTAAATAATTTAATTTACTGTAAATAATATAAATCGTATAAGGCTATGGTACTAATGTTCGACTAAAGAATTTCGAATAGAACTACGTTGCTGGTCTCGAATGCACAAAGCGTGCGCCAGCCTTAAGGAGGATAGGAACAGGACGGGTCAACCGACAAGAAATCCTGACGCGTGACACTGTGCGCGTTCGCCTCGCCGTTCGTCCCCCGAGATCAGCGTGCTATATCGGCTACCGTACCGACACAATTTCACGTTAATTCTCCTCCGTTTTTTGCCCCGTCGTTGATCGTGCCTCGCTCCGATTCGTAACGGAATTCCTTCGGCGTTTTGCGGCACCGCGTCTCTCCTGTGTTCGGTTTTATTAAAAGTTTTAGTTGATATTGGCTTTTCGCGCGGAGATATCGAGGATGAATTTCAATTTTGCGGTTTCAACGCGCCGACCGACTATATTGGTCACCGGTGACTTTCCAGTTATTTGGATTTTTTGGGTTCCACTGTAGGGTTATCGAATCGTCGATCGAATTCGTTGGATAAAGTATTGGTAACGTGTTTGTTAACTCTTCGATATCGTTTGAGACTCTCCAGTTATTCGGATTTTTTGGGTTCCACTGTA